TCAGCTGTGCGGGTTGATTTCCCTTTCTCAGGCTTAGACCACTAGACGATATGCCCCGCACACCCAAGAGATTACGCCGGTGCCCCGGTTGTGGAGATCCCGCGTCAACTCACAAGATCGGAGAGGCGGGGATGACCTGCCAAAGAAAGAAGCAGACGGATACGACCGCCGACGGAAAGGCTCCTCCGCCCGCTGCGGCGGACGCCGACGGGAAGGCACCCTCGGGCGCCAATAAAACATAACCGACAATACAATCACAAGAGATAATTTATGGATGAAAAGTATCACTATCAATAGTATCATACATAGCTTATGTTCTGCTTATGCTGGAAGCAGAGACCTGATCAACTCAGCCATTCTCAATCTCGGAGTGCTCATGGCATTTCAGAATGCGACTTTGTCGACAATGTCGCATGAACACGAAACATTAGGTTCAGTGTTGGACCAGTTGAGTTCGCAACTGCTATGAACATGAGTGCAGTTCAGCCTAAACCGATATCGAATTCCAGACACGAACATCATTCGATTTCGTAGAACAAACAGAATGCACCACTATCATTGTGTGAATTGTGTGATTACAATTACCAAAAAAATTATACCAGACAATATACAATATGCAGAACTGTACTGGACAATCTCAAGGAAGTTTTTCCTTTTTTTTTTGTTGTTTCTTTACCAAACACATTTGCAAAATGCATTTAAGGGACAAGAGCAAACATAAAAATTGATTTGAGGCATTAACATCCAACAAACCCATCTAACTTAGCTGTACAAGCCCCCACTGAGCCAGAGGCACAGTCCCCGAGGTCTGGGTTTCCAAGAGGCTTGGCAGCTTTTTAAGAACACCTGACTAACACACCCCGAGTAAGCTGGATGTTCTGCCATTTCCAATCAGTGTTTGCTTTTTTGTCACCTATGTAAACATGTAAGCTGTGTTTGGATTCAATGTTGCTATTATCAAGGGCTGATTGTATTTCCCTGGTGTTTCTGGTATCGATGCCTAGATCAGATGTTCTCTCCTGAAGAAGTCTTCAGACATCAAACCCAGTTCCATGTCCATCTTTCTGGTCACAATCGTCTCTTGGTAGACCTGTAAAAATGAACATCTCATTTTTAGGACCTCGTATCCATATGAGAACTACATCAACATGCAAAATAAGACATTTAGTACTTGAACATGAGTGTACAGCATAGTACAGTACAAGTAGCCAATGCAATTATACATTGTACAGACTGATACAATTCAGGTCAGGTTCTGTCAACTATCCTCCAAACTGTTGAATTAGGGGCCAGTTGTCATGCAAATTCCTACTGGCCCCTCGTGGTCTACAAACAAATTATAGCCAGCAGATAAAAGGCTGCAAAAATCCGTTACAGTTTTGTTCCCGTTCTCAAAATAGCGTCGATATACGCACCGGGCTTAGGGTGAAATTATGAAGCAGTTACACTATATTTATCGCGTTGTAGTTATCCGTTCACCTAAATGGCTAAGCTATATTATAGTATAATAACTGGTTGCTTGCGCTCAAGCTCATTCAGTATACACAAAGAGCTCTTGACTTGTGTAACAAATTTTCGTGTACATGCATAATTTAACGATTAAAAATAACCAACAAATTGCAGTTCACACCCACATTGCTCAGTAAGGAAAGCAACAAAGGCTACATAAGCTAAATGTGCCGATAAGATTCGGAACCATCGTTTTCCCTCCATGTAAAACCCGACGCAACAAAAATCTCGATTTCAAACAAAGGACTACGGGCTGAACGCCTTGAGTGACCGTACCTAACAGGACGGTTCCTCACCAGTAACATCTACAAACCCCAATACACTGCGAAACAGCTTTTCTATGCGACAATTGCAGGTTTTTGAGGGAAAATTCAGAGAAAAACTAAGAGAAGCGAGCACAGAACCTTACCTCACAATGAACGCCCTGCACACTGACGCTACGATCAGGAGACACTCGCAGCATTACAACTATATCCATCCGCTCAGCCATCTGGAGAGTCGCAAAACCCGAAATAAAGGGCAAAATGACTGTAAACCTCCGAGACATGAGATCGTTATAGTAGTATGAGGTAACTACCAAGTTACCTTCATATTCGGCCAACTGTTACTGTAGACGAGTCCTGTTTGCTCTGCACTACTTTATGGCAGCGAATTGATACATTCTGTCTGGCGGGGGATAATCGGTGGGGCCAATCGAAAACCGCGAGGCTCATTTAGGGTTTTACAAAACATCGTTCTATCCAACATTGGCGAGCAAACGGATTATTACCTTCGCCAAGAGGGTTATGTTTTCGAAGACGTTCGTGTGTGTGTGTGTGCGTGTGTGCGTGTGTGCGTGTGTGCGTGTGTGCGTGTGTGTGTGTGTGTGTGTGTGTGTGTGTGTGTGTGTGTGTGTGTGTGTGTGTGTGTGACTCCAAGCAGGGGTTTTAGTTTGGGGTTATTTTAGCGTGTTTTTCGGTTTTTTTATGATCGGGGTTTCCCTTTTGCACTGAATTTTTTCCCCACCAAACCCAACCTCTGCCGGCAGTCAAAAGCTTCAATGCGCTATAACATCACTTTGACACATTAGGCCACACCAATTTAATTTCTTGGTTAACGGATTCGCCGCTTCATTTTTTTCACATTTGCAAATAAAAATAAAAATCCAGAATCAACTGCAAAATGCTCATATTTTGCCCTGAACAGTTGAAAACAGACCTTTTCATCCTAGTTGTTACAGTTATTCCATCTTTCAATGCAATGGTATCATTAAAAGTTCAAAATTCATTGTTTAAATTTTGAACCAGCCTGGTGTGTTGACTTCATGGCTCCTATCGTACCATTTTGGGCCATAATACGATGCCTAGGCCTGTTTTTATTTTATTTTTTTTTCGCCCGCCAGCTCCATTATTTTTCTAGAAAAATCCGTTAACCAAGAAATTAAATCGGTGTGGCCTTACGGTTGTTTTACACGAAGTATTAAATTGACCGCGAAAACAGCAACGGCAAAAATACATGTATTCGTGCATCATCACGTGCACTGGCGGGCATCATGTCCGCAGACGGCGTATAAAATTGCATGCCGATTACACAAAGAGAACCCAGTGTTTTGACTGCGAACACGAAAAAAGGCTACTCACAACACTCCGTCCGGAGGTCATGACCTCCTTCACGGAGTAATAATTGAGTTTCTGCAGTAACAGATATGTGTTGTATAGGTGTGGGATCACGCGTACATGGCGTGATGTCCATGTGAAGGGTAGGTATTTACTAGTAATACAGTAGTAGTCTGTTCATTCGACGCAGTACACGGCACCGCGGAAACAACAAGATTGTTGTTGATGAGGGCAAGGACATTGTCCTTGATGAGGGTTAATTATAATTGTTTAACTTGTCAAGTCTTGACTGTTGATTTCTTATGAGCTTGTTACTCCGTGAAGAAGGTCAGGGCCTCCGAACGGAGTGTTGTGAGTAGCCGTTTTTTTTCGTGTTCGCAGGTAGAACACGGAGTTCTCTTTGTGTAATCGGCATGCAATTTTATACGCTGTCTGCGGGCATGCCCGTGTTGTCTGTTGATGCACGAATATGTATTTTTGCCGTTGCTGTTTTCGCGGTCAATGTAATATTTCAGATGCACCCCTACAATTATGAGGCACATTGGAATGGTAGTCAGCACAGGTCTGCTCAGGGGAGTTACAAAGGCACAATCTCTCATTTCATGGACAAGTCAATGATCAGATCATGATTTAATTGTCAACAGTGATAAACAAGACACTGATTGATCTCTTGGTGTCTGATTGACACTTATTCTTCATACTTTGAAGCCAATTTAACACTGTGACAGCAGGGGTAGCTGACACTGGGATTTGGCGATGGGTGGGCGAATGTGACAAGAGGGACAAAGATGAAGAAGAAGAATAAAAACAGCAAAAACAATGTTTCCCTTCTGCAAAGGTAAACATAATGATATTTTTTGTTTATTAACATTACCAAACGTAGAATAAGTTCACATTGTTTTATGATAGATAAAAGTTGTTGTCATGATAACAGCCACTGAAAGACGTTGTCCTACGTGCAAAGAAATAATTAGAAGAGAAATTTTACTTCTTATTAATAAACCTACCCCACCCATATAAAGAAAGACAGAAATTAATGGCTGCAATCAACTTTAAAACTATCGTGATTATAACTAAAACGATCTTGTCATGCCGATTTCCTGAAGAGACACAAATTTTTATGTGCTCAAAGTTTACTAGTGCAGTACCTAGATTATAGCACCCTTACTTCTCTATATAGACCCCGTTGACGATAATTAGAGTAATGTACTAGATATCAGACTCGTTGTATAGCACTGTTTGCCACTTTGCCATACATTGTATCCACTATAGTTGCATGTTTCAATGCGTGTCCTTGGTAATGACGTCACCTTGTAAACTTTACAATACAGTGGCGCCACCTGGCGAGATGCAGCTGAAGTGTGTGAAATTTTGTTTTACTAAAAGTGCCCATTTTTGGCGGCGCCGCTATTTTCCGTCTCGTAAACGGTCGATGCCATTTGAAACGGTCGATGCCATTTTGCTGAATGGTCAATGTCATATCCGAGCGTCCAAAAACGACTAAAAATTAATATATACTATAAAAAGCAATATTCTAATTGCAAATATAAGGGAGGGTTATGTAGAATTGTAAATATTAGTGAAAAAAAAGCACAAGCTCGGATTCGAACCCGGGTCCAAAAGTGTAACTCCAAAACCCTCACCCTAACTTATACCCTAACCTCTACGCCACGAAACATCACGGTGTGGATGGACCGTGCTGATACACTTAAAGTCAGCCCTTCTGCGATATGGCATCGACCGTTTCCAATGGCATCGACCGTTTACGAGACGGAAAATAGCGGCGGCGCCTCTGGAATTTTTACGAGCGCATTTTTAAGTGACATTACTTGAGATGTTAAATTTTGTTAAATCATTTTCTTAGCACAGATTTTGGTGAAATAAGGCAAATTTGACTGTTTTAAGCGGTATTTATTCGTCTGCAGTCAGTTCATACATTGTATCCACTATAGTTGCTCGCCATTTGCATGCCTCTACTGCCTCAGAGCACACGGCACCACCATTACTCCGCAAATGTCTCCTGGATCCACCCCAGACGAGTATCCATGTTAGCCTTGATGCCGGGTTTGGGGTCCTTTCCAGGCTGCGGGAGAAAGGTCGCGGTGTAGTTGACCTTCGTCTTCTTGTCACTTATCTTCTGTACTTCCACCTATGAAGAGCACATTGATACAATCAATCGCAAAAAATCTTTATATTCACAACCACTTGTTAAACAAGAGATGTCATTTTGATGACCGTCTGTCATGTTCATCAGTGCAATTATGACTGGTTCCCTGTGCACTGAAGCTAGGTGTTACTGATTCACTGAGAACTAAAGCTAGGTTTTACTGGTTCACTGTGTACTGAAGCTATGTGTTACTGGTTCACTGTGCACTGAAGCTATGTGTTACTGGTTCACTGTGAAATGGAGCTAGGTGTTACTGGTTCACTGTGTACAGATCCTAGGTGTTACTGGTTCACTGTGAAATGGAGCTAGGTGTTACTCATTCACTGTGAACTGATCATGAAGCTAGGTGTCCACGGTTCACAGTGTACTGAACCTCACGGTTCTGGATAGTCTTTGGAAATCCCAAAACATAATTTTATAGATTTGTCCCAGGCACAAGCATGGTTCTGGATACTAAAGCACGGCTCTGGATAAAACACTCAACAGATGCCCACCTTGTTTAAAGTTAAAACATTTGGTCCAACACAAAAGTTTTCTCACCCAGAGCTTTCGACCAGTCACTCTGATCTTCCTCAGTAGACTGACCCGGTGAAGCTTGTCACGTGGTTTCTTTGACGTGTGACGTCACCACTGGGTCAAAGGTATCTGGTAGACCAAGTGTTGACGTCACACTTCAAAGAAGCCACGTGACAAGCTTCACTGGGTCAGTCTACTGAGGAAGACGGGAGTGACTGGTCAAAAGATCTAGGTGAGATAATTTTTTGTGTTGGACCAAAAGTTTTAACTTTAAAAATGTAACTACCAGGTGAAGTTTCATGATAGTAGATGCCCACCTTGCCGCGATGATGCAGAACACCCATGTGGTCATCCCTCCCAAACTCGTACTCCAGACTGTTGGGAGTGGCCAGGACCAGACGTTCCTCCACGAACCCCGGGCCGAAGAACACCTTCCTCCGCAGGTCGTAGTTCGGTTGGTCGGCGACGACTTCTACACCGGTGGCGTTCATGACCCAGGCGTACCCGGCCCAGTCATTCACGGCGTCCCACAGCTTGTTCATGGGGCAGTCGACATCAATCTCAAACTTCAGCACATTGCCATCCTTGTCAGCGATTAGGCCGAGGACCTGAAGCGTAATAATACATTTGATAACTTCTTGTATATTTTTTACTTGTTAGGCCACACCAAGTTAATTTGTTGCTTCTCGGATTTTTTTCAGAAAATATGAAGCGACAGGGCGAAAGTAAAACAAAAACAGGCCAAGGCACCCCGTGATAGCCGGAAATGGTACAATATGAGGCAAAATGGACAGGGCGAATCCGAGAAACAACAACTTAAATTGGCGTGGCCTTCGGGACATGTGCTTAAAACAACATATAACAAACAACAATATAGAAGTATAGCAGACAGCAAAACACATAAAACGTAACGGGTTTTTGTATCAATGAAAGTCAATAAATTTGACCTGTCAAATATCTGGTCACCCATCGGTCGCAGCCTCTGCCGCGCTTCAGGCCATTGACCTTACCTGTTTGGAGAAGAAGAAGAAGACGAAGGAGAGAATAAGCAACATGTTTTTCCTCTGCGAAGGTAAGCATAATAATTCATTATCACACACCTCGTTGATGCGGTTGCGCAGCATGTACTTTGTAAAGGCAATATGAGCCCTCCTCTTGTCGAAGTCCTGGAGGGCAACAATGCCCGTGATGCTCATCGTCACTTTTGCAGTCTCACTTGAGTCATGGTCCACCTACAGCATTGGAGAAGTAATGTGCGTTATTCACAAAGCGAAACATCACTACAATAAGGAATCTAGAATGTATATATAATAATAGAGAGAATATCTGAGGTTATTTTCACAACAAACGAGATGACCTAACGTCTAAGCAGTTCAAAAACGTTGTTGTGAACAAGCTAAAAGTGGTTACCCCTGTGTGCATAGTAAAGCAATCACTTCTAACTTGACCTAAGGTCTATCTTTAGTTAACATAACCTTGCTTTCTGTCACGTTACTGCATTAAAAAGCCTACGAACACACAGACAAACACAAACTTGATACCGTGACCTTATTCATACGAAATACATTTTATCTCAAACTGAGATACATGGCAACGCTCGAAATGAGTTGACTATTCAAACATCTACAATTTATCCCAACTTCCCAAAACTTACAAACAAAAAACTTTTCTTCTTTTAACTTCCCGAAACCCACAAATTTTAGAAAAGGTGTGACATTACGTCTTCCATGGTTTACAAAAGAGAAGTCAAACCCTTCAGACATAGTTTTAGACATAGCAATAGTTTTAGACAATTAGATTTCATTATGTAAATTTTTTTAAACATTTTATGTTTCAGAATGCTTTTATGTTTGTAAGTTGCAATTAGCCTTCGGGCATGGATTTGCAATAAACGTCTTATTATGTTTACCTTCGCAGAAGGAAAACTTATTGTTTTTGCTCTGTTTCTTCTTCCTCTTCCTCTTCTTCTTCTTCTCCAAACAAAGAAGGTTAATGACCTGGTAACTAGTCAGGCTCAACTAGCATTGGGTTACATCATGTTGCAACTTTATAGCAGGAGGGATTTAGACTCCTGTCTGACCATATGTATGAATGTGTTTGAGTAAGAATTAACAGAGCAGACCATATGCGAAGGTAAACATTTTACATTCGCTTTGCAAATGTTACCTTTCTAGTTCATGTATTTGCCTTATACCTTTACAGTAGCTAAGTAGGTGGTGAAGAGAGGGTTGCTGCCCAGCATGGCGATGGCCCAAGTCTTAGTGTCCTCGTCCTTCTGGACAAGCTCCTCTTGGGTCTTTCCGCCTAAGAAGTCAAACTCGATCACGGTCCCCACCCCTCCATCTCCTATGGTTTCAGAGATGTATGAAACAAACTAATCACTGTGCTTGATGTTTTAATGGGAGTTCCACGATCTCATACCTTCGCCAAATGATGTTGATCGTTGGACGAATTATACATTTTTATTCATTGATTTCGCAAATAAGACCATCATCTACATGGGTTGTATCCGTTAATCATATTCTCCACCCAATAACAGCCTGATCTTAACAAAAAAGGCTACTCTAGCAATTCCTTATAAATTATGCAAATATGGTAATGCTTTGAATAAATTATGTTTATTGCTGTTCACCTTTACTTAACTTTCAAATGCGGCAAGTATGAAATTACCAGCATTTACTACTATGATATTATATATCTATGATCTAGACTTACCCTTGACAGTTGTCATGTTCTTGTGCATGCCCACATTCTCCTGCAGATGGAAGTAGTCATCGAACCCGGACCAGTACACATCCGCTGACACCGGAACTACTTCAGTATGGGTCACCGTGATCTCCTTCCCAAACTCCAGCTGATCTAATAGGTACATGTAAGGCCGTGTTTAAGTGAAGTCACCCAAGGCGCTTTACATGTGGTTTACCCCGAAGCCGGTTTCAAGTGGCTCCATCTGAACGCTCCGAAATCACATTGAAAGCGCCTCGATCCCAAGCCACTTCTAGAGGTGGTTTGGAATCGGTTTTCCCGCATCGCGATTTACGTCTGAACGCAATGTGATTTCAATGTAACTTCGCCTGGTCATGGATTACGGGGTGATATTTCTTTATTTATACGCAATACCAACTTTTACGAGGCAGCAACTTAAAGAGCAGTAATGGTCAAATAATGTGGGAGGGGGGCATCAGCAAGCAGGTCGTTGGCCTCTGACATTAATAACACGCTACCTAGCGTGTTTTCATCAAACAGCAATAAATGTAGCTCAGGCGAATTGTGATCGGACACAGTTTCAAAGGAATGTGTGGCAAGTGGACCAGATGTGAGGAATGTGAGTTACCCGAATCGCAGTTTGGGTGACTTCACATAAACACCGCCTAAATCACACATGCAGTAACTTCATTTACGTCGTTGGATGTTTTATTGCAAATTCTTGCCCGAGGCCTAATTGCAGGAACAGAAGAAACATGCCATGGTATAAAAAACAGATAATTAGTACATATAAAACTACTGATAACTACTAAGAAACTACTAGTAACAACTACTGGATTTGACTTCTTTTTTGAAGACAGAGGAAGACAAAGGATCCCACTTTTTCTGTAATTTGTGGGTTTTCGGATGTTAAGAGGAGAGTAGTTTGTATATGTGTGAAAGTTTGGGAAGAATTTGGAGTCTACATCAAAGAGTTAATTTCGTTCATTGCTATAGAGGGTACTAATTTAAGATAAAATACGTTTCGTCTTCCACCGTATTCAGCGTACAATGTTTGCAAATTAATTGAATCAAGCGGTCTTTATTATACCTTGCGGGATCGTCACCGTTTTCAGGAATTCTGGGAGCGCCTGCGTCATGCTTGGTGATCTGTCCGACGGCAACAAATATCAGAAATCGTAGACCTAAGAAATATCACATTTTTCGAGATTCATTTGTCACGTATAGATACAGTTACTAGAGGATTCTTTCAACAGTGACAAGTTGGAAGGGTAAGGATCCTAGACCAGAGAAGTGAACAAGATGGACTGATAGTCATCGAAAATTTGGAGGTCAGTATCCTTACCCTTCAAAAACTTGTCACTGTTGAAAGAATCCTCTAGTACATATAGTAACCACATTTTAAAAGATATGAATTTATAATACTTTGTGAAAAATTTCGAGGAAATGTTACAATTCAAAGCTTTACATAAAACAGGGCACAAGAAACAAATCAAGAAACAATGGATGGATTTTCATGAAATTTGGTGGTTTACGCTACCAACCTACCAAAATGGTAAGTCTTGCTGATGAGGCAAAATGATCAGATTTTGGTGGCAATTGACATGACCCCTCTAGAGGCTTATTACCCAAAGGACGGAGGGTAAAGAGGCTGGTTTGTTCGGCATCGGCCCGAACATACATGTACATGATATACATTCATGATATACATACATCAGGGCTCGAAATAACCAAATGCAAATTGCATGTGAATTTCAACATTTGCACATTAAAAATATTATGAACTTGCAATTTGGCATGTTAAAGATATCGATATATCATATTTTGTTATCGACGTCGTATGTCACGAAAAGGTTGAAGATTTCATAAGCTCTGTTAAATTTTGTTTCTTCAAACTCTTTGACTTTTGTGAAATTATTATTTTCATATCAAAATTAATGCACAAAATTGGGAATTTTTGCGTAGGATAAACCAAGAGAAAAAATATTTCCAGCAACACCAGTGACGATTCGTATTGGCAGGAAGATACAAACCTCAAGTATATGCTGTCAACGTTTAAGAAATTCCAGTACTAAAATTTTTGTAATCATCCACGGCGCGAGGCCGAGGGGCCCCAAATCCGCCCACACCTCGTAAAAGTCGTGGGAGAATCTGGGTCAAATGGGCTGATCACGCTCAAAGCGTTTTTTTAGAATGCTTTAAAGTGAGGATCCAGGCAAAAATCAATCTTCACAAAAAAAACGCCACTCCTGTGATTTTCAGTCATATTATTATCTGATATCATTTCACAGCAGATCAGGAGAAATGTGAACTCAAACTTGACCCCTCAAAACCATTTCGCCCATTTTTTTTACCGCGGACTGGCTGGGAGAGGGCCATGAAAAAAGTCCCAAACAGAGTGACCGATAGGGATGCCAGAAAACTAAAAAAGAAATTGAAAGAAATTATAATTATATAGAAAGTATAAATTGGTGCTTTAAGTAAACATGTACACATATAAGTGGTCATATCATCTATGCATGGTTGGTCACCAGTTGTCCTAACATTTGGGGCGTTTGGTTGTCATAATGATCAAGCGGAAATAATTGCTCAAACAGACGCCCCACTGTCTGGGCTAGTCTTTATTTTGGACATCTGTCATGATTTGGTGCAAGAATGTGTTGCTTGACTAATATAAACGGGAAAGGTACTGCAATATGCTCTGTTGTGTGCCTTTTGACAATTGCAACAGTGTCGCCATAGGTCAAGTGCTCGAGTTAAAATACGTGCGCATGAATTTAGTCAGGGACAGATTATGCTAATTACGACCTTCTTTTTTTGTCCTTTTTTTTCTTTGCTCACGTCTGCAATTCTTCTGTCAATCAGTCGTATTGTCCAAGCAAAAAAAAAA